TTTTACTAAGCTTTGGTTTCCTCACCAGAAAATGGGTACAATAATGCCTGCCTACCTCAGAATTTTTGTGAGATCAAATGTGGAAGTACTTTGTAAACTGCGAAATGCTTTATGTATATAGAATTATTGGGAGTCACCTCGTGTTATATATATAAACTGTAGGAAAGTTTATGCTTTAATTATCTCAGGAAGGCAGTAATCTTTGTTCCTTTTGACAACCTTTCAGTAATTTCAGAGTTTACCTAAAGTATTTTTTTTATTTCTAGGCGTGAAGGATATATCCCAAGTAATTACGTAACAGGAAAGAAATCAAACAACTTAGATCAATATGAGTAAGTAAATGTTTATGTTGTGAATGTGGAAAGCCAGAAAATGTTTTCATTTTCCTAATTACACGAGGCATTTTGAAGATCAATGGATACTTTTCATTATCTTTAAAAGGTATCGCCAGCATAGCCTTAACTCAGCTGCCTAGTGTGGTAAAAGTTTGTGAGAATTAGTTTGTATAATATGCTTTACCTAAAAGTGCTACGTGTGGATGGAGTTACACAAGCAGATGCAATCAAACTGATTTTAAACAATGGTCATAGTGAAGAATCTAACAAGCACAGCTTACTTGACTTTTGAAATAAGATAATTTATTCATTCACTAGGGGACCCTGGTAGTGCAGTGGTTAAAGTGCTCGGCTGCTAACTGAAAGGTTGGCTGTTCAAACCCACCAGCCACTCTTCAGAAGAAAGATGTGGCAATCTGCTTCTGTAAAGATTACAGCCTTGGAAACCCTATGGGACAGTTCTACTCTGGGTTGTTATAAGCTGGAATAGATTCGACGGCAATGAGTTCATTCAGTCAAGAAACAGGAATATAATATCCCAGAGTGGCCTTTAAAAAAAGCATGTTTTGTTGTTTCTTTTTCTGAATATAATAGAAATATATGATTATTGTTTTTTTTAAAAAAGCTTGAAAATACAAGAAAATGTAAGTAAGAAAAAATTACTCGTTAGTCAACCAGAGGTGACCACTGTCAACATTAGTGTTTCCTTTTAATGTTTTTACTGTTGTTTAAAAAAAATGGAATCATGCTGTATATATGATTTTGTTATCTTGCTGTTGTCATTTAATGGTATGTCACGAGTATGAGTATTTCCTCTTGCTATTAAATAGTCTTTCAAAATATTTCCATAGCTGCGTTACATTTCATTCAGACATAAATACGTGAAATCATTACGAAGATCTCAGCATGTATCAGGCTTTGGACGTACAACCAGGCATATGGCACACGGATGTCCAATAATTTAATCATTTCCCTGTTGGGGTGGCATTAGGTTGTTTTAAAAAAACCCATTGCCGTCAAGTTGATTCCAACTCATAGCGACCCTGTAGGGCAGAGTAGAACTGTCCCATGTGGTTTCTAAGGAGCGCCTGGTGGATTTGAACTGCCAACCTTTTGGTTAGCAGCCAAGTTCTTAACCACTATGCCACCAGGGTTTCCAGGTTGTTTTAGGTATCTTTATTATATAAAAATGACTAGAATAACCTCTTCCTGGTTATTTTCTTAAACTAGATCTCTAAAATCTAAGTATTAGGCCAAAGGTTATGTATGAACTTTTTGATACATGTATGACTGATGCAGAGTCACTGGGTGGTACAAAAGGTTAATGCTCTCAGCTGCTAATCAAAAGGTTGGAGGATCAAGTCCCACCTAGAGGTACCATAGAAGAAAGGCCCGGCAATCTAATTCTAAAAACTCAGCCCTTGAAAACCCTATGGAGTACAGTCCTCTGACAAAATGGAGTCACTACAGGTCAGAGCAGACTCAGT